TCTCTCTCTCTCTCTCTCTCTCTCTCTCTCTCACACACACACACACTGGTTTTGGCTTGGGTTATGATCTCCTGTGAAGCACTGTGAGCCATTCTTGTCTGCCTAGGGTCTGCCTAGCCTACTTCCTCTATTATATTTAGCTCTTTGGTTATTTTCCTAATGAGTTGTCTGTTTGCCTGCAGTCATCCAGCCAAAAGACAAATGTGTAAAATCATAAGCTACACACCAGCCCTCAGAGCCTAAAAGGAAGACTCCTTCATGCTTTGAAATCCACCCACACTGGAGCTTTGGCTGAGACTGTCCCTTTTTTCTCGTTGGCCCATGGCTGAGCAGGCTAACTAGAGCTGCCCCCAGCTGTGGGTACACATTTTCTCAAATGCTCACCTCTATAGCTGCCACAGTCAACTTGCCTAAGCTGGCAAGCCAAGTGCAGGCTTAAAATGGTGACACATGGGAGGAAAGTTGGAAATATTTTATCGACCAAGTAATCATCACCAAAGGACTTCACACCATCTCTAGCTTTGACCCGCCTTTGTTCCTGAGCTGTGATTGGGAAGTAGAAAACAAACCTTGGTAGCTTTGATTTGTGAGGGCTCTCAGAGCCTTATGGACTGCTGCCTTTGGGAGGCTGGCCCTGACTCTCTGGGAAAACAAATCCAGCATTGATAAGATTCAGTTAAACCCTGCTGGGGACTTGTCAAGCCTCAGTCTGCCTCAATATGAATCATTAGGTTCCTATCACCCCACCCTTGCAGGACTCCAAGTCATTAAGAAAATTATGAGCCCAGTACTTTGAGAGTCTTGAAAGCCAACTAATGAAGTTCTTTCTTCAGTCTGAAGACAACCTGGAATCCTCATTTTCATAGAATCAGTGAACATCAAATACAAATGGAGTTGTGGTTCACATATATAAAACTTTGTATGACCTCATTCACCTATTGTGTCTTCTAAAATCCATACATACATATTCTAATTAGGTCCTACTTAGACACACTATATAAAATGAGCATTGGCATTTTTGTTTTAAGACTTAGCGGTTACTTTGTAACAGAATCTCCATTAACTGTAAGATAAAAGATGGGTAAAACCTGCAGGGGAGGTAAAAGGAGTGTCCACATGGTAGCTGTATATAATGGTGGGTTATTTTCACTCTAGGTAGCGTCAGATGGGTAGAAAATGCTAGAGAAGATTTGAGATTAATTCAGCAGCTATTAACAGTAACTATGTGAACACTTAACATCAAAGAAACACATCACAAAAAATGGAGATCTACTGGGCACCCTGTACCTACCCATCCTTCTCTACCCTCTCAGGGAGATGCCATGGAGCCTTGGATTTTATAAACTTGAGGTCCATGCCTTGACAGACAGGATTCTGTTCCCACTGGACAGGCAGGCCTCACTTGGCCTTGCTTGCACCAAAGCAGGCCTGGTGACTAGTCACCTTATAGCTACATCAAGTCAAACCAGCCACATCATCTGGGCCCATTTTCCTGGCAATGGGAGTGAGCAGTAAGGTTGCAGGCATTCCAACCCCTTGTCCTCAAGGTCTTTGGCACTTTCTGGGGCCCAAGAAGATAAACTGCCCCCCCCCACCTTCTGCTGAAACCACACAGGGGCTCCTGTCACACGGCAAGCAGGGCCTTCACAGTCACAGAGACTGCTCTTTAGTAGCTTAGACTGCAGTTACGTTTTTAAGCCACTTACCTAAGAGGTGAGTTGTTTTCTACTCCTCCTTCCCCAGAAGCACACAACCATTAAAGTTACCTGGAAACCCGGCCAGGAAGCATGCGGCAAATAGTAAGCAAGCAATAGAAATATCCAGGTCTGTCATCTAATAGGAGATGACCCAGCAAGTCATGTTTGGGTAGAGGTAGAAATGTGAAATTCAATTAGTTTGCACATTGTATCTATTCGTGGAGCCGTTTGGCATAGCTTCTGAGAAAGGGGTTTTGCTCTGACCTCATTCAAAGGGCATTTGGTTGCCATGAGCAAGAAGGGAGTGAGGTCTGAGATCGGAGACGACCTGTACTGCAGATCACCCACGGGCACAGACAAGTGAGGTGGGGGACGAAAGACATTTGAAGGCATTGCTTCAACTTGAAAGAACCTCCACTAGAGACATGTATACCAAGAGAATGACCTGCGGACACTGCGTGTATATATCAGGAGGAAAGCTTATATGTTGAAGGACAAGAACTGGAGCAGAAAGAAACTGTGGTCATACAGGCTCGTCACCCCAGCACCTGGGAGGTAGTCAGGAGGATCAGAAATTCAAGGTCATCTTTGATTACATAAAGAGTTAAAGGCAAGCCTGAACAACACGAGAGCTTATCTCTAAACATTAAAAATGAAAGGCACTGATATGACCAGCAAAGAAGCTGTGAGAAAAGAAGGGAGCAGGAGTGTCCTGGCCAGCACGGCATAAACAAAGCACCTGGAAGGCACGAGAGATTTCCAGTCTGTGAGGCCCTCAGTCTTTGCTTTTCCTCACAGGAAGGGGCTCTCCTGTGTCCCAAGCAGCCCCGGACTTTTCAGAAGAGTCCTCCTCTCATGAAAGCAGCTGCCGGAAAGCAAAGAGCTTATTTATGTGTCTCGTGTCCCGCCTGCCCCCTTTAGGTGTCAGATGAGGTGATAACTCGTACACTTGTAGAGAAGCTGCAGAACTGTGACTCAGCTGTTTCCCACAAAGCCTCTGCGGTGACAGGGCTTTAGGAAGCCAGCTGGCACAGAGCTGAAAACTTGGCTCCGGGAAGGTTTGACGAGACCACTTCCATTGGCTTCACCCTGTGTTATAGCTTTTTCCCCCGTCCAGCATGAGGAAGGATGACTAGTGGGACTATCAATCGTGAAAGTTGACTGTTGGCATCTTATTCTGGAGATTCAGCAGGAGCCACGGGGCAAGCTGAGGGACAAGTCCTGGGGTTTCCGTGCTGATTTCTTTTCATTTGGCAGTCATCAGTTTTACCACTGGCATCTGGGCATGAGTCAGTAGAGCATGGCCACAAATACTTGAGCAACCATAGAGAATTAGACACTGAAGATGCAGACAGGAAATCTCCATTATGCAAGCAGTCCTCAGGAAGGGAAGGGGCGTGCGTAATAAAAAGTCTGGCTAACATTCTACAATCTGCTAATTACATAAAGCCCAATTAGCCTGAGAACATGGAGCTATTTCTAGCCATTCTCTTAGCTGTATGGCCGGAGAGTGGGATTCTTTGGCAGACTTGTTCAGTCAGGGGTGTAATCCTCACCTGAGAACTGGGGAATGTGGCCACAGCCCTCCTGGCAAGGCCTCCTTGATTTGTGAGTGGTACCTGACCTTGTTGACTCTAGAAAAGCACGTTTTAGACTTGAAACTAACTAGTCTTCTCTGTCACATCACAAAGACTTCGGGGACAGAAATTTGAAATTGTTATTCAAAGCAGCTGTAGGCACACAGCTGACACACACACACAGTGGCTGTAGTCACACTGCTCACACACACACAGTGGCTGTAGTCACACTGCTCACACACACACAGTGGCTGTAGTCACACTGCTCACACACACACAGTGGCTGTAGTCACACATACACAGTGGCTATAGTCACACAGCTGACACACACACACAGTGGCTGTAGTCACACACACACAGTGGCTGTAGTCACACAGCTGACACACACACACAGTGGCTGTAGTCACACACACACAGTGGCTGTAGTCACACCGCTCACACACACACAGTGGCTGTAGTCACACACACACAGTGGCTGTAGTCACACTGCTCACACACACACAGTGGCTGTAGTCACACTGCTCACACACACACAGTGGCTGTAGTCACACATACACAGTGGCTGTAGTCACACTGCTCACACACACACAGACACACACACACAGTGGCTGTAGTCACACTGCTCACACACACACAGACACACACACACAGTGGCTGTAGTCACACTGCTCACACACACACAGACACACACACAGACACACACACACAGTGGTTGTAGTCACACTGCTCACACACACAGTGGCTGTAGTCACACTGCTCACACACACACAGTGGCTGTAGTCACACTGCTCACACACATACTAGTGCTCAGGAAATTCACTCAGACTTACTGGTGTCACTCAAATGTTCCTTGCTCTGGATACCAATGTCAGATTAAAAAGCAGCACACGGGCTGGTGCGATGTCCCAGTGGATAAGAGCACTCGCTGCTCTTCCAGAGAGGCTAAATTCAGTTCTGAGCATCCTCGTTAGCATTCCACAACTGCCCATCTTCCAGCTCCCAGGAATCCAAAGCCCTCTTCCGGCCTCCGAGAGCACTGCACTGGTGTGCTGTACCCACACAGACGCATACACGTAGCTAATAAATGTTTTTTCAAACATAAACCCTTTAAAAATGGTCTCCAACCTTCCTAATGCTGTGACTCTTTACAGTCCCTCATGTCGTGGTGACCCCAACCATAAATTATTTTTGTTGCCACCTCACAGCTATAATTTTGCTGCTGTTACAGATTGTAATGTGAGTATCTGTGTTTTCTGATGACTTTTCAGTGGCCACACCACACTTTAAAAGGAGACGACAGGTGAGCCATGGATACATGTGCGGACTGACAGAGGCTGCTTTCTTCAGCCACCTTCCTGGTCTCCGCTGCCCTGTGTTTGGGTCAGTCAAGGCCTGGTGTTGGTTTCAGTCTGCATTTGTCCCCTCTCACAGAGGACATGCCAACACACTCAGAGAGAACCCAGTTTCATTGTCTTCAACCCCAATGTTTCTCTTATCGAGGAAGAAAGCGATAGAAGAGCTGACTCTTCACAACCCCGCGCACACACACAGCAACTAGTGTCCACGTAGGCATTATTTTCCCTGTGCATTGTGGGGCTGAGGAGTTTAGTTGGACAAAGCCAAATCTGTTAAGCTTGTTTTAGCAAAATGTTTGCTTTCTCTTTTTTGCTTATGTGTTTGCTTGTTCAGTTGCTCACATGAGGTAACATATTCTTGTGTCTGTCAGGTGCCAAGCATGTGCACTCACCCCTACCCTCAGCCCTCATCCAACACCACTAACGCTGGAGCTAAGCAGGGCACCTGCAGAACCCACTCCAGAGAGGCCAAGAAGAAAGAGAAGGCAGCAAGACGCCAAGAAGATTCCCACTTTATTCTGTTCCAGGGATTATCCTCTTCCTAAGTGAAACTCGAAAGAACCAAGAACTGTATAACAAGTGCACACAAGTATACACACATGTATACACACATGCACACACACGCACAAAACGGCCATACAGATTTCTATAACACTGTTGGAAGGCAAATGAGAAGGGGGTTTCACAAGCTGAAAAGTGGTTCTAAGAGGGGCAGAAAACTCCTGAGGGACAAATTAAACGGAATTAGACCTGGAGTTTGAGGAACTTCTGAGGGGTGTATTTCCCCTTAAGTATGAGCAGAGGTGCTTCAGGGACAGAGGGAGCTCTAAGGGAAGCACCAGCCACAGGGCCCTGGGAAGTTGCCAACTCCTTCCTAAGCCAAATCCCCCACCCCACCGGAAGCTGGGTCTCCTGAGGGGCTACGGTCACACAGTCTCCTGAATCACCACGCGGACATTTCCAGTTCTTCTTGCTTTGTCTCTGTGACTGGTCACGTCCTGTCTTTCTGACGTTCGCCCACTCCTGCCGGGCTGGGAGCAGACTGACAGCAGGCAGCAGTACACGCTGGGGAGCACCACAGTCTTCACGAGCAATCCCCTCTGGGGATTCCTGCCACAGAGTACTTCGTAAGCTTCACATGAATTTCTCTATAAGTACATATACATGTAGGCAGTAGGGATTCACTTCCCTCTTACTCACCGTGTCGTTTTTATTGTCTCAGTTAGCCTCACAGTCAACAGTACTCCAAAAGCATTAAACAGAAAATTCTAAAACTAAGCAGGTAAGTCTTAAAATGCACGCCGACACCGTGGAGGATTGTGAGGAAGTCTCGCCATGTCTCACACTGTTGTGTGAATCATTTAACCCGTGTACACACACTGCGTATGCTACCTACCCATTAGTCAGAGTGACTATTGTATTGGAGTGCTTGACTGAGTTCAACTCAGCTTTACTCAATTACAGTCCACAAAGTATAAGAGGCATGACGCCTACAGCTCAGGTCTATGTCTGAGACAGAATAAAAATCCCCACTAATAAGGAAAGAGATACCTGTATGGTGGGGCTGCTAAAATCTACCATAAGGAAGGATCTTCTAACAATTAAATTGTAAAGAAAGTAAAAAAAGCCTATACTGGTTTTTCTATGGCTTATCAAACTACAAAAAGACACAGCCACATATGTGCTAAGGTATATATGTATAATAAAATAGTGTATATAGGGTTCAATGCCACCAGAAGTTTCAGGCATTCTATGGCAGTCACTCCCCTGCCCTCAAGCAAGCACAGAGCAGCATGATATTTGACACTGACCCATTCTGGAAGGGTTGAATGATAAAAATTTCATACTCTGGATCTGTGCCCAGTGTTGTTGGGAGTAAGGGGGAGGGATAGGACGAGGGGGTGGAGAGGCCCGCCTTTAATTTCAGCACTCGGGGAGACAGAGGCAGGTGGGTCTGGAGGTAAGGCTAGTCTACATAGCCAGGTCCAAGCCAAACATAGTGAGAACTTACCTCAAATAAAATGTAAGGAAGGAGAAGGAAAGAAACGGCACTTAAGAAATACTCAAAAGCCTTCAAGTGAGCACGAAAACAGCTGGTGACCTAAAAGTTCAAATAATGGCCCGAGAGAAGGGACGTGGAATGTTGACCCTCGTTTACGGAAAGCGAGTCTGAGTCACAGCCCGGTTCTGAAAATTGCACATGAACTCATGCTGCCTGTAAAACCAGACATCAGCGGTGAGCAACCGTGATCTCCGGCCAGCCAGGCAGAAGCAGCACTTTGTTTTCCATTGGGCGGTGACGCCAGATCCCACTGCTCCTGACAAAGGCCCTCGTCAAGCCTGTGTGTCATCGTTTGCGTACGCCCCAGCTGCTCCAGTGCACCCGCGGACCTGCTTCCCCACCCACAGTAACTCTCGGGCTTCCCGACAGCCAGGGCCGTCCATTGCGTCCGTGCGGGTGCAGCGCCACCTCCTGGGCGCTGTGGGATAAGCGGCAGCCTGAAGCCGATGGCACAGACCACAGTTGGTGAGCTTTGAGGTTGCCAACAGCCAGGCCTGACTGCAAGGCGGGCCAGGAACACGAGCAGCACAGGGGCCCTACACCCAAACCAGTCCTCGAGGCTGCACGAGGTCCCTTCCTCCCTGCAGAGAGTGATGTGGCAGGCAGATGTGCACATACGTGTTTCCGGGGTGTGTGTGTGTGTGTGTGTGTACGTGCGCGCGCGTGCGTGTAATCCTGGACATGACCTTTCAAAAAGTGGGAAAAGTGGGAGAGTGACCATCACCACCCTCATCGCTGGATTTGTCTGAAATTTTACAGGTGACGGAAACGTAAGTAATCGCACGTAATTTCTCACTACAAGCTGGGGGAGGGAGTACCACATACTGGCTCTGCTAGTGGAATTACTCACGACTTAGGCACGGCTGCGACGGCAGCTAACTAGCTCCTTCGCTCTTTACCAGACCAAACTATTCACCCACTTACGGGGAAAAAAAAAAAAAAAAAAAAAAAAGGCAGGCTGACCCTAAGGATGAGGAGGAGGGAATGAAATAAAACTCAACTACGTCTAAGTCTGGAAGGAGGGCTCAGAAAGCTCTGAGCAGCAGCAGGTTCTGGGTTTTGCCAGGTCCTTTAGCAGATCAGAGAACACCCGGGTCACAGTCACAAGGCAGCATCTGGCTACCGAGGGGGTTTCTAAGATGAGGGGTCACCCGGGCGGCCACAGCTCCTCCGCCGCGCTGGCGGTGGGATGCGTGCGGCTCTGTGAAGGCGAGCAAGCCCGCTCCTGGCTGCTAACCCGTGCCGGAGGCCAGCAGCTTGGGGCTTTCTTTGACTCTTGCTCGGAACCCCCGAAGCTCTCGGAGACCTGCTCCGTGACCAGCACTGCGTGGCAGAGGAGGCGCTGCGGGGGAGGAGTCAAGTGCCGAGGGGGTGGAGTCGACCTGTGGGTGGGGCTGTCCACGCCCAAGCACGCACAGCAGAGGAGCCGGCTCTGCTGTGTGTCCCCTGCAGTTTCCCGGTGACCTGCCAGCCTGCGAACCTTAGTGTGTTTTGCCAGCTGCTGCAAGGCTGACTGACTCACCCACGCCCTCTCCACCAGAACGGTACCCGGCTCCCACTGAACCCTGAGTGTAAGCGGACAGCGGTTGGAAGGGAACCCTTTCCTTCGCTTTGTTTTCGACTGGAACGTCAGACTGAGAAACGGCTGGAACAAGCAGTTCTGGGTTAGAGGTCAGGGCACAGACTGGACTCTAGGGCAAAGCAAACAAGGCCGCTCAGTAGCTCGCAGGCATGTACTCACAGACCTGCCTTCAGTGAGCAGGCTTGGAACGCTGCCTGGCTCATCCTTAGGCGGCCAGAGCAGGCCGGGAAGCCACGTCCTGGATGAGCCGCGGGAGGCCACACCAGCCTTGACAGACTGCCCGGAATGGCTCCGCGCTGTGGGAAGACAGGCGCACGGGCGCTCTGTAGCTATCCGCCCCACAACACAAAGGTGCTCTTATTGTCGCACGGCCTGTGAACCATGCTCAAGAGAAGTGGCAAAGGGACATCGTGCTTGCAATCGTTTGCTCTGGGGTGGGAACTCTGGGACAGAGTGGCATCGTTTGCAGAGTCCAGGATACAGTTTAAACTTACTGGGTAATCACAGTGATGTATTTTGTCAAAATCTTTCTTCGCAGCTCCAACTCACTTCTGCCAACACTAAGTCTGGTTTCCCCATGAAGCTAGCAAAAACAAACAGGTGCCAGGTGCCAGGCATGGGTCTAAACTTTAGACTTCAGACTCTAAAAGCAGGGCTTCTCAACCTTCCTAACACTGGGACCCTTTAATACGGTTCCTCGTGTTGTGGTGACCCCTCCCCCATGATAAAATCACCTCATTGCTGCTTTATAATTGTAATTTTGAATGTAATGTGCGAATGTAATCCACACATCTAACAGCTGACCACCTTGGGATCATAAATATCTGATCTGACACGCAGGGTATCTAATATGTGATCCCAAGGTGGTCAAAAACCTTGTTGAGAACCACCTCTGTAAAAGCTCTGTGCCCTGGGAGTTTGGGAGAGTCGGGCGGTCCCTGGGTGACTGAGAGAGAATGAGTGCTCCAGCCCAGCAAGGAAAAGCTGGCCCTAGCCATGTCCAGGCTGCTGTCTGCCCGTGAAGCCCCTCCCCAGGAGAGCCATGGCCAGGAGAAAGCAGAAACTGGCTCTCTCTGGACAGCGCAGGTCTCAGTCCAGACAAAAGCCTTTTGTCCAGGAGATGGCTTCCCGGAGGCCACACCACACACTGCGCCTTTCCAAACTAAGCCCCAGTGCTCCACACAATCTGGAAAGCTATTTCCAGGAACTAATTTTACAATGTCCTCCATGATAAGTGAAAATCTGGACGTCCAACATTAGGAAAATGGCCTAGCCCAGTTTGTGGGAGTTCAGAATTATGTAGGAAAACAGGACAATGACACAAAGGCAGGCTTCTTTTAGGCTCATGCCAAACCAAATAAAAAGCCATCCTACACAGACAGGCACCGCTGCGAGGTCTGACAGTACAGAGGATAAGTGTTGAAACTATCCACATCTTGCATAAACTCTTGAGGGGGCTTTGTGTGTCAACACACCTGATTTATTCAGGGCTAGGGCTCCATCTCTGCCCCCCCCACACACACACACACACTGAACAAGCAACCGATGGACAGAGCTACACTCCTGGCCACACTGATGTCTTCATACTGTGTTGCTAAGGTAACTGGTATACCTCACTCTTAGCCATTCAATTTTCCTATAAATTTAAGATTTTTCTTTTTTTTCATTTATTTTTTGTTTGTTTTTGGTTTTTCGAGACAGGGTTTCTCTGTGTAGCTTTAGAGCCTCTCCTGTCACTCACTCTGTAGACCAGGTTGGCCTCAAACTCACAGAGATCCGCCTGCCTCTGCCTCTTAAGTGCTGGAACTAAAGGCATGTGCCACCAATGCCCAGCTTTTCTTCATTTATTTTTACCTATCTATCTATATCTATCTATTTATCTATCTACACACACACACACATATATATATATACAGTTTAAGGATTGGTGGTTTTTAAAAAAGATTTATTTATTATGTATACAGTGTTCTGCCTGCATGTATGCTTGCAGGCCAGTAGAGGGCACAAGATTTCATTACAGATGGTTGTGAACCACCACGTACTTGCTGGGAATTGAACTCAGGACCTCTGGAAGAGCAGTCAGTGCTCTTAAAAGCTGAGCCACCTCTCCAGCCCGAAAGAGGTGTTTTTAAAACTTCTTTCCCTAAAAATAACCAATTTTTTGAATATTGAGATTTTCTTATTCATTTCTGTTATTCTATTTTTCTATATGCTACTTTTATTTGTGTATCACTTTATCAATCAAGTAAAATAATGAGAGTTTTAAAATCCCATCTAGGTGACTAAGCTCTGAGGCAGGAAGAGACTCAAGTTTCATCACTGCTTTCCTAAACACAACAGGAACATACTTGGACAGTCTTTATTAATTTTATTTTTATTATTATTATTAAATTTGTTTTATATCCCCACTGAAGTTTCCCCTCCTTCCTCTTCTCCCATACATTCCCCATTTCTCCTCTTGCCCCCTCAATCCACTCCTCCTCTGTTTCTGTTCAGAAAAGGGCAGGCCTCCCGTGAGTTTCAACAAAACGCGGTGTAGCAAGATGCAGTAAGACCAAGCACCTTGTCTTGTATTAAGACTGGGCAAGGGAATCCAGTACCAGAAACAGGGTCCTAAAAGTCAGCCAATGCGTTAGAGACAGCACCTGTTCCCACCGTTAGGAGTTCCACAAGTAGACCAAGCTACACAGCTGTCACATATAGGCAGAAGGCCTAGGTCAGCCGCAGGCAGGCTCCTTGGTTGTCATTTCAGACTCTGTGACCCCTCTGAGCTCAGGTTAGTTGTTCCTGTGGGTTTTCTTGTGATTTCCTTGAGCTCCTGGCTCCTATTGTTGGGGAAGTTCTGTTTATATGTCAATAAAGCACTGCTGGCCAATAGGGAATCAAGATAGGTGGGACTAGGAGTCCAGGAGGACTCTGGGAAGGAGAAACACAAAGAGTCAAGATGTAACACCATGGGGTAGGAAGCCCGGAAAGTTCTCCGGTAAGAAAAACACTTAGATTAACAATTATGGGGTAATTACTTAAGTCAGAGCTAGCCAGTAAGAAACAAGCAAGGCCAACAGCTTCATAATTAATATAGCTTCCTGTGTGTTATTTGGGACTGATGCGGCTCTGGAACCAGGCTGATGGGAAGGCTTCTTTCAAGGAAAAGGTTTCCCTTTACATCCTATAATCCTTCTTCCCTTTCTTCAGCACTCTGTGCCACTCTGGCATGTTATGTGACTGGGTTGATGTCTCTGTCCCTCCACTGGAAGTGTTACCTGATCACAGGAGATGATCAGTCCAGGCTATGTGTCCGCTACTGCTGGGAGGCTTAGCTTGGGCCATGCTTGACGATTCCATGGCCTCCCTTGTATCAGGTTTCTACCTGACCCCCACATGCCCCTCTCTTCAGTCATCTCTTTCAGTACTCCCTCCAACCCCATCCTCCCTCCAACCCCATCCCTCATGCTCCCATCCCCACCCACCCTCAGTCCACCCAGGGAGCCCCGAGCC